CAGATGAACGGCAAGATGAATACTACCAACAAAACAAAGGTCTATCACCACTTTTCATAAACCTCTACACAGAATATTTGAAAATTAATGCCATCAGAAAAACTGCTCTACACCCCAAATATGAATTGCATGTATTGACAATACATTTGTAGTATGGCCAGATACATTACAGACAAGATTCAAGAGTTCCTGAACCACCTGATCAGACAAAAGTCCCACAATACAATTCAAAAGGGAAACAGAAAAAAGGAAACTCTCATTCCTAGATGTTGTGATTACCAAGACCAGGGTTCTTACACTTTCAATATGCAAGAAACACATATCCTTAGCATCCAATCTGAATATCATAATTTACTAGATCAACACACATAATTTAAAATGATCATACAAAGATATGATGGCCAACATGTATATAGATGATTGATTTCTTCAACACAGCTAGTTGAGCTGGTCTGAGTAAGACACCTTTTGTAAGGTAACTATCTCTACTGTTTCTGTTTGAACTCTTCTAGTGCTTTTTTTTTTTGGTGCTTCCTCTTTCAAGTACCTTCTGTAGTGCTGTCTTGGTGATGAAACTGCTGTTAGTAGAGCTTTTGATAGGGAAATATCACAAACTCCTTCAGCATCTTGAATGTGATCATATATCAGTGTTCTTGCTACAAGTGAATTTTGTTTTTGATTTTCCACTACCAATTCTTTGTTTACAGAAAACCCATGCTCAACATCTGCTTGGCCATGTGACAAGCTCAATATTAACTTGATGATGACTCAAAGATGTTTGTACTGGGGCTCTCCTTCCAGTGCAGAGTAAAACTGATCCAGCTTTTCAGATTCACTGTTGAAGGATGTGAAGGACAGAGGGGAACCTTTGCTTTTTTGAATTGTTCACGAGAAATTGGAACTCTTTCATAATTGTGTCACAATGGCACAAATGTACTTGAAGAGCATCAGCAAGTAATTTTAAGCAGATTGAAAGGATTAACTTCCAGTTCACTGGCTGAGATGTAATAAGTGTAGGATTCAACCATGTAGAAGTATGAACTAATTGGTAGTTGATTGAGGATTTTTCCATAAGCTTCTTTGTAATATTGATGAGAAAACTTTGGCAATTATGTTTGAACTGAAATACTCCTCTGTTACTTAGCTTTCCCTTCTTATTCAGACTAGACAAAATGTATTTTGCAACAAATCTGACATAAACACTGGACATCTCCTAATAAATTGCCTTGTTCAATACATTGATTTTGCTCAACTTTAGAGTAGAAGTAATAAAGGTCATAACATCATCTTTCACAAAATACTACAAAAGGTTCCTTACTATGCTGTAGAGGTCAACACCAAGAAATGGCATCATTGGAGGATCTGTTTGATATGTTGCTAAGAGTGGTTCCAATTCTTAGGCAACTGAGATAAAAAAATTCACCTTTGGCAAGAAAAAGTGGGTCTTTTATAGCATCACATACAATCTCAAATGTCTATGTCTGAGGGTTGCTAACTTTGCCAATTTCAGTACTATTAACACACAACTCCAAATGAGGCATAATGTGAAAGGATTTCTGTATGACACTGACATTTTCCAGCCATCTATGCAGACAGAAATGTGAGGGAAATTCTGATGTACCTGCAACTGTCTGGTAGTCCTCCGTTTTTGCTGGTGAATCCTTGAAAAGACAGTGCACACTACAAAGCTTTTCTTCAAAATTCCATTTAGAAGCAACACATTCACTTCGAAATGCATTATATGCATGCCACAGCTGCCAACATTTAGTAAATTCTTTCCAACATCTTTGCAAATGAGGTCAAAAACTTTCCAGTTCACATTGGGCTCATCCGTTGACAATTGTTACAAGTTTTTAGTGCCCAAATAATGTATAATTAGTACAAGTCTGTCCTGCAGGTCAATGGCAGTTGCATGGCCCATGAATTCAGATCCAACATATCTAGTTTTCACTACACAACCATTCCAGAACCTGGTTTGAATGTTCAGCTGCTTCATTTAAATGGGCAATTTAAGCTCTCATAAAAAAGGACTCAGACCAAATGTTGAAATATATGCAGCGTTGTTTTCACCACACTGAAATCTCACTATCAGGAAACTTATTTTTAAATACCTGTGAGATGTCATTGGTAGATTTAAAGAAGTAGTGAGACTCAATTACCTTGAGGGTCCACAGAACTTTAGATTTGAGCACATTTTCTGCTGGGATCAAATAAGAAGAGACACTTGAACTAGTTGATGGGATACTTTTTTCATTAACTTCTTGGCTTTTGGTAGTCTTCATAAAAGAATTGATTGACTTGTAGTTTGGACCTTTTGCTACAGCTGCATTGTGAATGTGTTTCTTTCCTGACATGTGACTCTTCGCTGCAGCTTTACCTTACCCCTGTTATTGATATCAAAAGATTTGTCACAGATGAAACATCTTGCTTTTCCAGAGTCAGGGTCTTTCTGAATACAGTTACCATAATCAGAATTGGTTATCCACATCATATGAAATGTATACTTTCGAGCATTATCAATGTCAGGAGCAACTGTTGAAGAAACAAACTGCAGAAAAATAAGTTTACCTTTGGTCACTTGGTCACTCAGAATGTCATTTTCATTCATATAAGATAACAGAAAGGTATTTACAATAACATTTACATTGTAAGTTCTAGGTAGGTCTAGCCTATATCTAACATTACTATGGTATTATGCTTACATCAGGGCTACATAGCACTGGACGAGGCCTACAGTATGTTACCCAAACCTCAACAGTTCGCAATAGGCCCTATTCAAAAACTACAAGTACCTATTCTAGGCTAGCATAAACCTAGTTGCCTTATTCTAGGCTACATCACATTAAAAAAATACTTCGCCTTTTTGTTTAATACCTAGGCTCAACACAGTAGCCTATAGCTAAAGAGTTATTGATGCTATTTTAATGGTAATGAAGCCTTATGTTATCCATAGGCAGCGACATTGAGTTTTCCTTTGGTCACTCAGAATGCCATTTTCATTCATCTAAAATAACAGGAAGGTATTTACAATAACATTTACATTGTAGGTTCTAGGTAAGCCTAGCCTATACCCAACATTACTATAGTATTATGCTTACATCAAGGCTACATTGCATTGGACAAGACCTACAGTTAGTCCTACAGTATGTTACCTATACCTCAACAGTTTGCAATAGGCCCTATTAAATAAGTACGAGTACCTATTCTAGGCTAGCATAGACCTAGTTGCCTTATTCTAGGCTACATCACATTAAAAAGATACTTCGCCTTTATGTTTAATACATAGGCTCAACACAGTAGCCTATAGCTAAAGAGTTATTGATGCTATTTTAATGGTAATGGAGCCTTATGTTATCCATAGGCAGCGACATTGAGGTTGTGGGTTCCCCATACAAACTGGGGTGCCTCCTTCCCCATTACAATTGTTCCCTTTAAGTTTAAAAAAGGTGTGCAAACTGCCTAAAATTTCTGTGCCCCTTCCCTGAAGTATATATTGATTTATCTGGATGTTGCCCATGATGTTATCACTTTGATTTTGAATAACCACAATTGGAGTATCTCCTAATGAAAAGATAAAGATATGCAGTCAAAAGTCAAGTATCCCAACAACTAACACTTACCATACTTTACACTGCAAGTCCAATAAAAATCTTACTCTTTCTAAAACATGCCACTGACACTATTTATGAAAAACAAAATGAAGACTTGGAATATTTTTGTTAATAATCATAACTGGTCTTCAAATACATGTAATGTGTCCCAACAAAACTTCTACATTTGGAAGTATTGGCAGCCTAGTAAGACTAAAGTTATAGGCAATTATTTTGATTATTGTGTGCCAATGTTGTTTGTTCTGAGTTATGCTCCCTCGTAACTCCGAACTTGCTTATTATATAGGCTAGGCTACGTTTGGTATGGTCTTACACTAGAGCTGTTCATGAACACAGCCTATTAATTTAATTAAGTATTTTTACTACAGTTTTGTCCATAATTATATAGAGTTAGAGTGTTGACTGCTTTGAGTGCAAAGTGATTTTCATGTTAAGATTAAAAATACTTTTCTTCATCTGAAAATTGTCACATTTCATTTGTGTAATCTCTAAAATTTCCTAAATAATATGAAACGTATTTTTTTTCAGTAAAACTTTTTATCTTATCTGTTATTTTATCTATCCTAACTCTATAAGTATTCAGTCAATTTAATTGACCTTCTAATCAACATAAAAAAAATGATATGAATCTAAATTATCCTTTTTTCTTCATCCTAGAATGAATGCAAATTGTAACAGGAAACTACAGTTGTTTACCCTAAATAGCTTAAAGCACATAACAGTATACAACTGTTTCTACTTAAAATTTATTATTTTATTGCCAGTTGTACCCTGTCTAACTAATAATAATCCTGCGAAATAAGTTGTACTCGCTCAGTGCATGTGTAGCTCACATTACTTTATCGAATTACCTAATGCATGAGTTATTAGCGAGCAATCCTCATCAAAATGTCTATCATTAGTATTATTTTTCTTACCTAATTTAATTTAAAATGTTTCTAATTTTTAAATTTAGTTACTGTTATAATAACAAATAAAGAATACATATGAAAAACAAGAAACATAGTACTTACCAGGATCTCTCTATATTTGGTGTCGACTATTGATGAAACTTAACCCTTCATTTTTGTACTATGGTACTATTACTACACTAAATAATTTTTTATTTAATCAAAAGACTTGTGATGCTTATTGAAAGCTTGCAAAATTTTGTGAAGATACACAAAACATCTTAGAAGTTATAATATGGAAACTCTAAAGGTCAATTTGGGGTCATGAACTTGGCAAAATTGACTGAGCCCATAGCTAGAGAGCTAATTTACTTTCTTTTTTTTCAAAATTAAGTTATTACTTATTAATCATTTAAAAACAACTTACTTTACCTCAGACTTTTTTTCTCCATCCCATTTTCTTCAGCAACAAACATATTTCCTACCTACATTAAAGAATGAATTACTTAAAAAAAATTAAATGTTACAAAAATGTTATAAAACCATTTATAGCACTTTCTTAAGCAATTAAATTATTTTTTGTGTTCTAATAGAACATGAATTTATAGACACACTATTTGTTTAATGTTATTTAATTAAGAATCTCTAAAGACAGTATGTTTATATATATCATATATAATTAAACAAGTATTAAGAATGTTACTCAAAGTTGATGTAACTAATCTGCTACTTATATACTTGTGTTATACTATTTCAAACTATATAAATGTTACAAATTTAAATTTTATATTTGACCTGAACCAATAATGTGAGCAATATAAAAACATTAAAGCATAAATGTTTTTAATCATTATTCTGTATTATGATTTGGTTCCAACTTAAGAAGAGAGTGTTTGTTTTTCAGTGCAAAGCTACACAATGGGCTATATGTGCTGTGCCCACCATGGGTAGGTATTGAAACCAAGTTTTTAGCAACACGAAGAGAAGAGGATTAACAGTCAGACATGCCTGGTGCTAAATTCTTCTATATGACCTATTACAATCATGACTAAAGACTATGGTAAAAAAAAAAAACAACTAAAGATATTTTTACTTTTGGAAACAGGAAAATATTACCCACAGATTTGCAAGAATCATCTATAAATTATTGAACAGAATTAGCTTTTTCTTGACTATGAAAAGTAGTGTTCTAACACAGACAAAATTTGCATTTGGACAACAAAGTATACAGACAGAAAGAAAACCACATACACAAACTCTACAACTCACGCATTCATGCACACACACATGCTAAGATCACACCAGTACTGATATAGTATACCCAACAGTAGTAGCAGACCATGTCATCTGTACTTGGTTATCTACTGTCATCCTGGCTCGTTTCGTAGCAAAGACGTTTATGATTTGTTTGGTGTCAAGCAATTCTAACAAGTCATTTTCTATGCACAAAAGTGTCAGTGCATTAAACCAGTTTTGGCACATTGGTGATCAAAGTGTGTTCTTTATCCTTTTCAGTATCAAGAATGATCTTTCTCCTGAGCAGTTGCTTGACATAAGGCATAGGCACATTCTTAAGATTATCAATAAGTTTGGGAAAGTTGATTTCAAAGACTGTTCACATATCATTCTCAGCATACTTTGTTTCTTGGATTCTGACATTTTTCACAGAATCCTGCCTTGCAGAGGGCAGCAGACTGAACAATCTTTTCCTCTATGCAACTATCCAAATCTGTAGGATATGTACTAATAAGTTTTTTGATGGCACTGCAGTGGTCCTCTGTAGGCATGGACTCCAAGTTTCATAAAAACCCAAACTTGCAACTGATATTTTCATATGTCACTATTCTGTTGTCTAGTGCAAGTGACTGTTTGTCAATTATTGTTAAGAAAGTCTGACCTTCATATTGAGTAGAGGGTGAAAAATCACTCTCTTCAGTATCCTATCATGTAGAGAATAGCTCCTGCAAAGCAACAAGAGATGGAGAAGGTCATGGATGGCTTAATTAAAAGAGGGATAGTTGAGAAATCAGATTGTCCTTGGTCAGCTCCCGTTGTGTTACTCCAGAAGAAGGATGGGACCCAACGTTGCTGTGTGGACTTCAGAGCTCTTAACAGTATAACTGAAAAGGACTCATACCCACTGCCAAGAATTGATGATACTCTTGAGGCCCTAAGTTGAGCCAGGTGGTTTTCAACTCTGGACTTACAGTTGGGTATCCATCAAGTGAAAATGGCTGAAGCAGATAAACCTAAGACTGCATTTAATTATGCCCAAGGTCTCTGGCAATACTTTGTGATGCCATTTGGGCTTAGCAATGCTCCAGCAACATTTTAGAGACTGATGGAAG